CATTGAAGACATATTTTTACCAGTTAAATATTGTGACCCGGCCCCTGGAATTCAGTTTATTTACTCCTCCCCTAGAATTTCCTAGGGAAGCCTATATTTTCATTACATGACACATACCCCTGAAAATTGGCTATAATCTTCCTGGATTTTCCATTGTCCTCAAAACCCCAACACCACCACCACAACCACCTAGGGATGAGCCGATAAGGAAAATTGACGATTACTGAGGCTGATTATTTATAAGCCGATTATCGTAACTAATCGGCCAATTAATCGGTACCTGCCGATTATTTTAAAAAGCAAGACCATAGATCTTGACGCTGGTTTTGAGACAAAAGACATGGGTTTTGCAACAAAATGTGAAAATCTATTCGTTTGTATTCAGTATTTTAGCATGTACTTGGCATCTGCAGAAAAAGTCTTATGGTCGATTATTTGCCGATTATCAGGCAATAATCGGCCGATTACCGATTATTTACCGATTAATCGGCTCATCCCTACAACCACCACCATCACCACAACCACCACCATCACCACAACCACCAGTGCCATGTGCCAATTAGTGCTGTGCGCCGGAGTTGCCGGAGCCAGAGTTCTGCCGGAGCTCCAGCGGTTTTTCCGACGCCGGAGCCGGAGCAGAATTTTGTATGCCGGAGCCCGGAGCCACGTATTCCCGGCTCCGGCAAAATGACAAGAAAACAATATGAAATGAGACAAATGTCAAACGATTATTAGTTACTGCAAACTGCCAATTGCTGTTAATGAATTCATCATAGACTCAAACTGCCACAGCCCACAGGAACAGCGTCGAAAAGCTGTAATACGATCGCAACTTACAAACGTCATGCTTTCATGAAGCCATCTGACTTAGCGCTACATACTGTAGTCTGTGTATTCATGCCTTGTAGATAACGAAAAAGTACAAAACAAATAAATATCTACCTTTTGAAAATGGCAGAGTACTTTGTTTGCGTGCGAACAATTGCGCTGTGGAGTCTGAGAGTGTTAGCGTCATGCCTCGCGTCATGCCTCGTGTCAAAGATTTTTCGAGGCTCGTTTCCATATAGATATTTTCTGCGTGGTTAAGTCTTAAGTATTTTCACTGTTTTGTTTCCTGAATTATGTTATCTGATAATTAGGAAGCGCGAAAAGGGTTATTCATAATAATATTAATAAATGTTCTCTGATCGTAAAATATTTATTTAATATTTTATGATGTGGCCGGGGCCGGAGCTCAGAGCTGTAATTCGGCCGGAGCCGGAGATGAAAAACCGGAGTTTGCACAGCACTAGTGCCAATGGACTACCCCACTAGTAACTCCAGACAAAGGGCTGCTCAGAACTTAGAAATTCTCCTTATACTTTCAGGGCGCGAAATAATGGCTGGAGGGTCGCTGGTCAAGGTGACTGGCCAACTCAATTTTAGCTTGGACACACCGAATATCTGGCCGGTCAAATTATTCAGCTTAATTAAAGCCTAGTAAAGTATACCCCTAAAAATGTGACTATTTTCCCAGTATAGCATTATAAAAAGCCTAGTCTGATAAAACAGGCGGCTGTTTTATCAGGCTATATATAAAAAGCCTTAAGTACTGTACGTAATCAGTAATTAAAATAAAGATTATACTTAGTTTGTTCTTTTACCGAAAGTGACCGGTCAAAATGACTGGCAAGGTAAGAATTTGAGCGGACACTTTGTCCGTTGACCCGCCGTTATTTCGCACCCTGTATTTTTCAGGTAGTTGCATCCCTTATTAAACCAACAAAAGCTGGTTCATTTGATTGGCATTATGCTCACCTCGATCAGGTCTACTGTCAGATCGAATATATTATTAATTAAAGACTATCACTTTCATATGTACACTACATTAAAAATAAAACATAAAAAGGTTCCCAAGAGTACACCAAAGAACGACACTCACATTCTGTTCGCTGCCAAAAGTGACCGTCTTTTTCTTTTAGCCACAGCAAACCTTGAAGGTCAAACGTTTCAGCAGGTTGAAGAGCGATAAATGCCAATTCCTTTTGATTAAATCTCATGGCAATAACATGTAAATAACATTATTTTCAATCAAGGCATATAAATAAAAATAAACAAATAAACAATTCAATTATTTATGCCATGTCTGTTTTGGACATTCATGTACACCGTATAAAAATTGTAAACACATAACAGGAAGTTGATACGGTAAAATGATGCGCCAACTTGATATTGTCTTATTGTTCATTTGTAAACACCATCCTTCAAAAGGTGATTCGAGAAAATCAGTGCAGATCACTGATCAATGAAATCATATGATTGAAATCAGTTATGTAAAGTGGGGTACTGGGGGTAGGGCGATAGGATTAGGCGGGGCTTTAAACTTGGGTCTTTGCCACTGAGCTATAATATTACTGGAGGACGTGCTCCTATCTATCCGTCAGTCAAACGGGTAATAAATCCATGTCCTATATACGCGAATATGAGACACACTCGCTCTATATTCACATGTACACCGTTATCCACTGTTATCTAGTGTCATCTACCGTTATCCACTGTTATCTAGTGTCATCTACCGTTATCCACTGTTATCTACTGTCATCTACCGTCATCTAGTGTCATCTACCGTCATCTAGTGTAATCCACCGTCATCTAGTGTCATCTAGTGTCATCTACTGTCATCTAGTGTCATCTAGTGTCATCTACCGTCATATCATCTACCGTCATCTG